AATAAACACGTTGTTTTTTCTGAGTAGCGTGAACTCCGATTTGACCATGTTATATCGAGGTGAATTGATTTTGAAATAATTTTAGCTTTCAATCTAAAGACTGTCTATCGCAGAAAGTATTTACTTACAAAGAGGTGCTAATTCCACAAATTTGACTAGCCGCTACGTATCGTGCGACTAGGTGTATTGTTTATAAATTATAATCCACGACTGGCAGGATGCGTGTCGGTCGGTACGTAATTATACCAACAATCAGACAATAGTCCTCGTCGGAAGCATTTCCGTGGTGGTCACTAATTTTGAGTGACGATCGAGGCCGACCGGCGTGGCGAACAAAGCTTTTTCACATCTGATATTGGCATGTCAAATATGAAATCAAGCGCCGAGGTGGGAACACATAGCGCCAAGGTCCCAAGTGAAGCGCAGAGATTCACAGGTATAGCGCCGCGGACCTCGGCGCTAAAAAGCCCTGGGGAGAACCCTGCCAGCTATATTACTATAAACAAAACTATACATCTTAAATTTGATAACTAACGGGGACTGTGCCATGCATGCATGGCTTGTTGACCGTGGAATAGTTTTTTAGTTTGTTGAATGCCACCTGATGTTTAGTCGCCACTACGAATGATTTAATATTGACTTGTATATTGCAGTGTTAAACGCTTTCCAGGGTATGACAACGACGGCAAGGAATTTCATGCTGACATCCACCGTAAACATATATTTGGTGGTCATGTTTCTGACTACATGAAAATGTTGCAAGACGATGATGAGGAAGCTTACAAACGGCAGTTTTCTCAATACATCAAACAGAACATCACCCCAGATAGTGTAAGTACCCTTTCATTATCTTGCATTATCTAAAAAGTTTACTATTAAAGATGTCTTTTAAAGCGGGAAGGTAGTCACCTGTGCACGAGAGGGAATATCGTCACAAACGATAACACGCACTGAAAATGGAAAGGCTCATGGGTAGATGCTTGATTGTAAACAATGACGCGTCATGGCCATCTAACACATGATAAGCATGTGATGACACCCCTGCTTTAAAAGGGAATATCATGTAAAAGCATGCATTTAAAATGTAGAAAATGTATCATGGAAATTACTGTCATTTTTGTGCGGAGAATTGATACATGTTCCGAATGATTAAATATAGGGTAATGTCATGTGACCTACTAATGTATGCTAATATCATGCGAATATCTATGCATTAATCGCCGTCAGTTGTGTACTACCAAACATTTCACCTCATTTTGTATTATTTTGGCTTAGGATTACTTTGAATTAAAAAAGCAGCTAAAGTTGTTAATAATAGTCTGTGCAATGATTTTCATTGATCTAAATCAGAATAAAGCCCAGAAATCTTAAAAGTAATACAATTCTCAATGACTTTAAAATAAAAATTGTTTTATATTTAAAGTAAAAAGCTTCAAACTTTGTTTGCCAAAATAGAATGCATTATTTAGCTAAATAAAGTTGGTATATATTTCTTGGTTGGTTCAAAGCAGCTGGGATAATTGTTTTTGATCATTAACCCTGAACTCCACAACTTTGTGTTGAAATGTTGGTGCAACAATTTGCAAATTTTGAACCAAATGAATAAAATGTTCTACAAGTAGAACATGTGGGGAAATAATTATCCAGGTTGATTTTGTGAAAGCCGATGGATTAGTTGATTGCTTGTTCAAGTGGATTCATTTTATACAGTATCTATGATGAATTAAGCCAATTAAGCTGGAATTACCGTATGATTAACAATGATTCCAAATTGGTGTCTGAACTGTATGCATGGTGGAACAAATTCGCGAGTCTAGGCTACAGTGATGTGTATAATTGAAACATGCACACAGCAAATGTAGCTCCTCCATAAATAAAACTTTGCAATGCGAAACAGTGTTAATTGAGCCCTGTAATTAAAATCACTTCAGTGATCGATGTGTGTAAAATTTAATTATTCAAATTACCTAATATTCTCCCCGTTTTGACTCTCAATTTTACTCGCACAGGTTGAGGAAATGTACAAAAAAGCGCATGCAGCTATCAGAGCCGATCCTGTTCATAAACCAAAACCAAAAAGAGACGTCAAACCTAAACGGTAAGTTTGTTTTTAGTGGCTTATTTAATAGAGTTATCCAGCCTCGTGAATAACTAACCTTTGATTGATAATTCATGTATGATTCATAATTACAATGGATGTAATTAAAACGTTTTCTTCACAATTTTCACCTTTCGTGGTTAAAAACATTTTTAAAATTGTATACATTGGTGTTTCTGAATCATGATTCTGTTCAAAAATAAGTTCCTGCAAGACTTGGTGATGGTGCAATTTTAGAATTGTGTGTATCTAACACAATTAGATGCAGTCTGCAAAGGCCACAAGTCTATTCAACCGTTCATGATTTCAAATATTTTCTATTTTCAGATGGAACCGTGCTAGTCTATCAAAAGCACAGCGTGATGATCGGGTACGACAAAAGAAGGCCTCCCACCTGAGGGCTAGAGAAAAAGAATAAATAAAATAAAACTGACAAATGAACATTTGAATTTCCCATCCTCTGGACCCGTAGCGGTTGCGAATAAATAAAAACCTCTTCTGGCCTGGATGGCAAGTTAATTATGTGTTCTTTTGACTTTTGTGTGAACAAAGTAATGGGAGTCTTTGCCTCTCTGAATGTCCCGTCCTTATCTCGAGGGATTTTGATGAAACGTAATGCATAAATGTCCTGGGACAATGCAGACCTAAATAATTTGCATGATTATCAAGCTTTTCCCGCTACCGATATTTTATTTCAATGAAACTTAATACATAATTACAGACGTTATATTCTGTAGTTGAAATCCATGCTTATCAGCCCCAGTTCGAATTGAGTGGTTTGCATTTATTAGCTCTGCTGTGTCAATGTAGATGTCAGAGCGGAATTGTTCATATTGCCGGTAGTAATGTCCAACAATTGCATTTTCTTGAAAACTACCGGCTCAATTGCCTTGATACTTGGTATGTAGATACCTTGGGTGGACCTGTCGGATTTGTTAATTTCGTGACATTTTTAGCATAAATGCTATTTTAGACTTCTTGAAAACTACCAGCTCAGTTGTATTGTATGTACCTTGGGTGGATTTTAAAATTCCTGAACACTATCTGCCAAATTGCTTTGATATTTGAGAGGTGCATGTTATTTTAGTGAACAATTCATTCTTGACTTGACTACCACAATGCCAGACTGAGGTAACTTTGACACTCTGATCACACATGGCAAAACTTTTAAAAAACTAATGCAGCAGACTACTTGGGAAGTTAATAAGGTTATATAATTGCCAGACTGTGAAAAGATGAAGAAATTACTTGTACAAATAGAATTCTGGGTACCCATTCATCGAAGTTTGCACAACAAGTTCTTTTAAATAATTCATAGCTGATTTTTGAGGTCATGTGAACACTTTAATATGGATATCTCTAGCACGGCTGTGTATGGCGGCAATGTATACGACCATGGAGAAACCTTTGCTGCATTAGGTATGAAAGGAAAATCTATAGGCTTTGTTGTCCTAAAGTTCTTGGTTAAAAACTAGCTTTTTGGGTTGCTGTACAAAATGAGAATCCTAGACGTGCAAGTGACCAGTGTTGCAATTCTCCCAGAGAACTGTGGAAGGTGGTGTAAGATAGGTATGGTTTTGCTATGTAAAATTTTAAATAATCCCAGGAATTTGTGAATTTTACTATGCTCTACCAAGCCCACTCAATGGGCAGAGTACAAAATACCCAAAACAAATGTCAGCAGTGTTAAAGAAAAGAAAATTGTGTAAATTAGAAACTGTTTCCAACGCTAGACTACCGGTAAGTACTCTAGTAAGGAGATGGCTACTCACTTTTGTGAATGTTAGCCATGTCCTGACAATGATTTAGACTGAAGACAATTAAGCGTCTGAAAAAAAGGTTCTCGTCTGATGATCCTCCTTTTCAGCGCCAAGTCCAGCAGGGGGATAATCTGCCCAGGTGGTTTGAGACTTGTGGCTAATGAAAACATTTATCTGCCAGAATCCTGCCGCAAGAACATTTTTGATAAACGTACCAACAGAAAAATTAGCCTGACCTGATGAATAGGAGGGTCAAGAGATCAATAGCACAAATGTGTCATAGATGCACGAAATGCAATCTAAGTTGAGGTTACACGTGGTAACCGATGTTTAGCTACACTTCCTTGGACACTAGTACCTTGGTAGACAACAGACGACAACGTATATTCTACTGCTTTCGATAAGACTTGTGCATACATGTGTAAAACCAATTCTAGAAAGAAATTAGCTGTGATACTTGGGAAATCGTATTCTCCATGTAGAAAAAAGTGTGATGGATTCAATCCAGACTATGATTTCTTGAATAAATGAGCGTGATCATGAATAGGGTATAATAGTGATGAAGCATATATGCATGAGGATTTGGTATTGAATGTATAGTGGGGATGTAGTGTAACTGATAGGATTGTGAACCCAGACCCCCCCCCCCCCCCCCAGATGTGCTTGCATGAACAATATTCCAATCTGCACACCAGGACAGAATGTTCAATGCCAATTTAAGGAATGGTGACTTCATCACACGCACCCTTTTGAGGTAGGCAATGGTACTGGTGAAGTAGTTGCATCTTCAGTTGATTGCCAAAAAACTCCTAGTTTAAATTCGCTCATCTACATTTAGTTAATTCCAATTGATGTGATAGCAATTTTGAGTTTCAGTCTCCTGGATTCTTTGTTGGTCTATCATGATCTGCTTGACTCAGAATGTCGGCCATGAGATAAAGGGCTTTGTGACCTTGAGGCGATCAGGATTGGCCCATCATATTAGAGATTACCTGCACTTGTTGGTCAACTTGTCTCGGGTAAGCTCTCCAATACAATTGGAGGACGTCTGAAGGACGCTTCTAAAGTCGCTGGATTGGATCATAGTGTTGCAAGTCGCAGTAAACATTCCCGCTGTGCAGCCAGATATGTGGCACGTGCATGATCTGACGAAATGGGTGCCAGGGAAAAAAACTTGCTGAGTCTGTTTATATCAAAATCAAACACTGCAAAAACTAATGACCTCAGAAATGTATGGGTGTACCGTGGTCGCTAAAACAGGTGATTGGTGGAGACATCGGTAATCAAAGTATAGTAAACAAAGATGGGCATGGAGATGTACCACTACACTGTACAGTAAACCTTTGCAATAAAGCCACACAAAGATCAAAGCGAACTCTGAATTGGCATCTCTCTTTTTAGTCTACACATTTTCAGATAGGGTTAACTGTCCAGAGCCTTCATATCAAACATTGCTAAGAAAGTCGTATAGTTTAAACAAGTCCAGCTCAATGCATTGGTTTGGAGGAGACAGATTCAGAACTGGTCTCCATCCACTTGACGAATTTACAACGAGGTGAAAATGAATGTAGAAACCAGGACTAGATATTGTGGACTGGATGATTGCAATGACCCATATAGTGCTTTTGTTGTCGAAAAGTGAATGGAATCTTGTACCACAGAGAGTGAACTTGTCTGGGTGTGACTAACCACCTCCATTTCCTAAAGCATTCCTTGTGAAGGAGTCTAGTTTTCTAAAATGCTTTAGCCCGTGAGGATTTACTAATGTTAGCTGGACTGGACACTATCAAGTTGATGGGTAGGAATATGCAGTTGAGAGGATAAACTAGTCTTCTCAGTTTTTTTTATTACCGAGAATCAATCTTTTATCAATTATAAAATTGATTTCACTTATCTCGTATACAGTTTTATTACCTAAAAATTAAAATCTTTTTTAGTTGTACGTTATATACAGCTGCAACATACATAAGCACTGATTCAGTAACGACAGAAATATGATCTAGTCCCAATATTTAATATACAGAAAAAACTGAAATGTACATTTATACAAAGAAATTACCAGGTTCTGACATGATGTTCAATTTCAGTTTTGTTTTAAAACCTCTGAGGTTGTGTGTACTGTATCACAACAATAAATTAAACCATTTGGAGCACGGGTGTTGATATAAATAAACAACAAATCATTCATTTCATGGGAAGCTATTTCCACAGTCAATAGTAATGCCAATGTTAAAATTACTAAAAAAAAAGAAAATTCTGCTTGTGTGTACATTGTACCGTACGACAGTGTGTTGCTCCTCCCTGAAGTTGTACAATAAATAAAACCACATTTTATAATGGTTAAATAACAATCTATTATAACCAGAACGAAAAGATAAAGTGCTCAGCACTGTCCATTATCACACGCTAACAGGGCAAACATAGAGTGCAAGTAAATAATAGGTGAGATGTAATCAAGACCATTATTTAAGTATCCACCCCTTTTATTTCAATTATAATATATTGAAAAGTGAACAGCATCAAGTTCTATGAAACTGAATAGAAAGACACCCATAAAAATACTATGTACCCGACGTCAATTTGACAGAAGTTAAAATCCAACTATCATTGTTACCGTATTTGCTTTGTTAGTAGTGTATTCGCTTTAATAAATAAATGAGTTGTGCTTATAGTCAAAATATTTCATAGTTTAATAATCCTTGCACCAGAAAGGTTTAGGGTTAAATCAGAGTGCAGTTTGCCCTGATTTCCAAATATGTGGTATTAGGTTTGGGAGAATTCTTTGAAAACATGCAAGAAGTGACAGCAATAAATTCATTATCCAGAGATGTAGCTTGGCACAAATATAGTTAAAGCGAGAAGGACGTCACCTGCGCAAACGTGGAAATTGAGCCCTAAGCCATGATAACAACACGCGCTAAAAACGCAAAGGCTCATGGGTTGACGATTGTTTATAAACAGTGACGCGCTATGGCCATCGGACGCATGTGCAGGTGACGACTCCCCCGCTTTAAAAAATGTTGAGCATACAATGAATAAAGCTGTTAACTTACATGCGCTTTTAAAAGAGCAAATACGGTTCTCTATTATAAGCAGATGGCATAAGATATTTCTTTACTGATTCAAATAATAGCATGTACACGATCTATCATGAAAAGCATGTTCAACTACAGCACCAATTTGTTGTGTTGCCATAGCAACATATTTACATTGTATACTCTTTGAAACAACCTAAATGCTTTCATTTCAAATTTGAAGTGCGTAAATCTTGACCATAAAGTCAGAAATCATACAATATAAGTTGTCCAGAGATGAATAAAAGGTAATTATGACATTTTTTTTTTCTTTGGCATCTTTAATTTATGTATTTCAGTGCAATGGCACCAAAATGTGAAATAATTATACCATGAAAGTCATCATGTTACCATGGAAATTATGTTACCATGGAAACCATGTCAAGAGAATGCAGACAAAATATCAATGACAAAGACAATTGCTCTTGTTAATGGACGTCTTATTCCAGAGAATTTGTCATGTTCTAAACTTGATGTTTTTTTACATATTATCGTCAAAATACCATAGACCCTATATGATTTGTTTATTCCCTAAGTACTGCAGATCAAATGCTCTCTTTGCACAAGGTCATAATATGTGTATCAAATTCTTTTCTGATAATAACAAAATCCAGTCAAACTTTAGCGTTCGGTGCAATTTTGAACAATCACATACCAGATTTCCTATTTCAAATCATGTATTGAATTTTGGTGAATTTTAAAACATGTTTGGTCAATCTGTGATAGCTCTTACTTTCATTACAAAATAAGCTAAATTTCTTGGCAACTGCCAACCCTTCCTCCCTCTTTCCCACCTCAAAGTTCTTACTTCTTCACATGGATTACCATACATCTCAAACTTTTTTTGTAAATTTAATTTGAATACCCACAAATTGATTACCTAAAACATAATTGTAAAATACAGTTGTACAATCAATACTTTAAAAATCCATCAAACAATTCTGTTCTATCACCAGCAATTAATATATTGGGCCATTCCAGTTTATATCTGCACCCCCCTGTTGATGAGCTTGTGTGTTTACTTCATACAGGGTATAATTTCCATGGGTGTATAAAGTCATACAAAGTTTTATTTCCAAGTCACCATTCACCATACAGTAATGGAAATCCAAAACTATAGTTCCTACTTATAGTGTTGATGAGTTCCTTTGTACCACCATACAGAGTAGAATATCCCAATATAACTCTCATCATAGGCTAATTTACCAAGTTCAAAATTTTATATTTGATAATGGAAATCCAAACTACTGGTAGTCCTGATTCACGGTGTTGATGAGCTCATTCGTGCAACCATCCTTATCTAATTTCAGTAATAACTATTTCATACTGGCCCAATTCCAAGTTTTTTTTAGTCATACTGTTGGAAATCCAACCTCATCAACCGGTATGTGGCGAGATAAACTAGGCCATATTTTATTTAGTAGCCATAACTGCCTGGATTTCCGGGAATTTTTTTTACATACTCGTCTGGATTTCCAGATTCTGTTTCTCCATATACAGTTGGAATTCCGGGGTATTTTCCCCATCATACAGTGCTGGAAATCCGACCACATCAACAGGGGGGTGCAGATATAAACTGGAATGGCCCATTGCATGCAAAGAGCTGAATGTGTTTGTTAGCATTCAATGTCGCTATCTCTTTCATTGGAATTGTTCGAAACAGCCCAATAAACATCTCTACCGCATATAAACCAGGGATGAATATTTATTTTAGAGACTAAAAGTGATTAACATAAATCACTAAAATGTTGTCTTTCAGCTAGCGTGGTGGGCAGGTTGATAGAACCATCACCTAAATTAGTAGTCTGAAGACAGTTTACAAAATAAAAACAAAAATCCCAAAGTTCTGTGAGATGGTAATGTAAGACTATACCACTAAATGGTAGGGGACACAGCTTTGATAACATCTTGTTCACGAAGTTGTTTATGTTTCTTCTTCTGCTTGGACATCCAAATTAAGATCATCGTCTCCCCAACCTGTTTCCAGCTGTAATAAAAAAAAAAAGAAAAAATATTTTTTAAGAAAATGGTTGTTTTTTAACATACTTCAGGTGAGCAGCATTCATATTTGCCTGACATCTTTGAACAAGTAGGTCAAGGGTCATGAGTTACGAAGTTACGATTAAAAAGACGCACTTTAGTAAATATCGAGAAAAATTCAAAATATTATTCAGATGTACTTTAATTGCAGTTATTCAAGAAATGTACTGTTTTGGGACAATTGAAGATTGTTTGCCAATGATCTTGAACATCGATCAGCATGCAAAGACCAATCAGATTACTAGGAGTATTAATAGAAAGTAATGAAATATCAAATATTGTTCTATGTGACACCAAAGACAATAGATATTATTCGTCTGTAAAATGTTGTATGTGCGTCCTGTTTACGGTACATTCATGAATCATGTCACTAAACGCAACAGATGGCGTGGAGAGGAACATTTTGTTGCTGTAATTCCCGGCTGTTATATCTTGCTAAATTATTACTGCACGTAGAAAAATATGTATAATATTAAAAGGTTCTCGTTAGAATACTACATACAAGGTATGCACTCAGGTGGTATGGACAATAGGATCATCATACTCATCATCATCATAAATAATTGATAGTACCGGTATCAATAACCTCATATTGCAAAACTTGCAATTTGCAAACTGTTGATAGGGTCTTACCTCATCTGTTGTTTCTATGGCACCAAATGATGCAGATAACTCTGCTTCTATTTCAGCTTCTATTGCTTCTCTCTCCTTATTACTCATTTCTTTTGTTGTTTTTGACTTTGACTTACTAGACTTCATTAGCTCATCTAGTGAGACAACATTGCTTTTGACGGTTGGCACCATATCCGCAAAGAAGTCTGGCTCAGGATCTGGCAGTTTTGCTGTGATATCAGGAATTTCAAACTCCTTTCCAAGGTCTTTTGGGGTGACATTTTTTCCTCCTTTCTGTTGTTTCTCATCGCGAGGGGAGACATTGGAGCTACCAGGAGAAGAGTTCGATTTTTTAGCAGCACTTTTAATTTTCATTGCACCAGCTTGTTTCTTAGCAACAGTACTTTTTGGTTCATCAAGTAGAGTTTCATCACCTTTCTCATCATCGCCCCAATTCGACCAGTCCTCCTTGACTTTTTCCTGCTCTTTAGCTTCAGTGGCTACTGATTCTGACTGATCAATGTCTCCCCAATCTGACCAGCTTTCATCTTCTATTTGAAGCTCAGTTTCTTTTGTTGCCATGGCAAAATTGTCACTTTCTACAACCTCACTTATGTGAGTCAAATCAAGTTCTGTTATTTCTTCCTCAGATGGAACAATGGTTTCTAATTCATTTAGTTTTTCTAGTATACTTTCATCGTGAATAACTTTTGTTGCCAAAGTAGCTAATGGAAGACAAGAACAGAAAATTGTAAGCAACAGAAGCGACCATACCACAATCAGGAAATGATGAAATAATAATAATGATTAGTGATGTGTTGATTATTTCTATTGTTATAAATAAATATGCAAACACATGGCTTATCCAACACTTAGGCTACCACCCAATCAGCATACATGACACATCCAGCACTTAGGCTACCACTCAATCAGCATACATGACACATCGAGCACTAAAGCTAAAAGCGGGAACGTCATTCAGTGGGCCTTTTTTTCTTATACCGGTTATTTATACTAGCGAACATGCACACAACTGTACACAGAAAGCATGTGTGCGAATACAAGTCATTGCCGTGGCATCGTACTTCAGTGGTATGAGGATGGCAAATGGACATATTAAAGACAAATTTGCATTTAAGACAAAAGCTTTCATGAAATAAACATAGTTCAAAGGAATTTTTCAATTTCCCGGGAGCATGTTCCTTTCCCTATAGTAGCAAACACAGATTGTTTCTAGACGCAACTCGCCCTGGTTATGTAAATGTTTTCCCTTAGCTTCAGCTCCAAACCAAAACAAATGACAAAATTTTTTTTCTGAATTATACAAGTTCATCATATTTGGTATGTCAAACGTGCCTTGGTTAGGTTGAACTGAATTATGGACAGTGTACTTTTCTTCTTTTGTTGTAGTTGTACAATAGAGTGTCAATCACAGCTGAATATGTGTTGCGACGTCAACACTTTGAAATATGTGGACGAAACGTAATATGTCGTTTAGTGAACAACATGGCAGACTCGATTCGCCAAAATGCCCTGGCATCAATCACAAAAAGTGTGGATAGCTGCTAGAATTTGAATAAACGAACATTATACAGTGCAAAAATTGCTGCTGCTGCCCTGCGTGTTGGGTATTTCCCCCTGTTCGCCCCCACGCATGCCCGGACAGTCCCACGCGTTAGCACTTTAGCTACCACCCAATCAGCATACATAACACATCCAGCACTTTGGCTACCACCCAATCACAACACACATGACACATCCAACACTTTG